AGGCACCTGCAGTTCCAGCTACTCGGAGGCTGAAGCAGGGAGAATGGCGTGAACCGGAGGCGGAGCTTGCCGTGAGCTGAGATGGAGCCACTGCACTCCAGCCTGGTGACAGAGCGAGACTCCCTCTCAAACAAAAAAAAAAAAAAGAATGATGCTTGCTTTGGGTTTTGAACAGATATGCTTAATGAAGTTAAAGAAGCTCCCTTTAATTTGCTAAGAGTTTTTTTTCTTTTAAATGGAAGTTGAATTTTACTAAATAATTTCCCTGAACTGATTGAGGTGATCATATTTTTTGTTTAATATTTTAATGTGAAGAATAACATTTACAGATTTTGTAATGTTAAGTCTCTCTTGAATTCCTGAAATACACCCAACTTAGAAGTGATTTATTATTTGTTTATGTTCTGCCATATTTAATTTGCTAATATTGCACTTTGGATTTTTTTACCTATACTGGTAAGTAGAGTGAGATTGCCATGAATTTTCTTTTTTGTTCTGTCCTTGTCTGGATTCAGTGTCCATATTATAATGGCCTTATGGAATGAATTGGGGACTATTCCTTCTCTTTCTACTCTCTGAAGGATACGACCTAAAATTGGAATGATTTTTCTCTCAAAAGTTAGAGGAAATTCATTTGTAAAATTCATTTGGGTTACTTGTTTTCTTTGGGAGAATCTTTTAATATTGGCTCAATCATTTTAAATTTAGGGCTCTTAAGGTATTCTAATTTTTCAATCAGTTTTGGTAAGTTATATTTTCTAGAAACTTTTGCATTTTGTCTAAGTTTTAAAAATTTATTAGCATTAAGTTTAGTCTTTGCTTTATCTGTAATTCTGTTCCTCTTTTCCCAATATTATATATTTGTGCCTTCTTTTATTGTCTTGAGTAATGTCACCAGAGGCTTTCCTTTTTTATTAGTTTTTTCAATGAAGAGCTTTTGTCTTTTTAAAAAATCTCTTTTATTGTAACTTGGTTTTCTACTTCATTGATTTCTCCCCTTTCCTATATTATCTTTTTCCTTCATGTTCTTTGGGTTTACTCTTTTCCTAATGTGTATCTAATACCTATGTTTTAAATTTTCAACCTTCTTTTCTAACATAGACATTTTAGGATATAAGCCTCTCTCTTTTGCTCCATTACACAACTTTTGTGATATTTATCATTTAGCAACAAATATTTTATATTTATTATGATTTCTTTTATGACTGATACTTTAGAAAGTGTGTTGATATGGTTTGACTGTGTCCCCACTGAAATCTCATCTTGAATTGTAGTTCCCATAGTTCCCATGTGTTGTGGGATGGACTCAAAGGGAAATAATTGAATCATGGGGGTGGTTCCCCCATACCGTTCTCGTAGTAGTGAATAATTCTCAGGAGATCCGATTTTTTTTTTTTTTTTTTTTGAGACAGAGTCTTGCTCTGTCACCCAGGCTGGAGTGCAGTGGCGCGATCTCTGCTCACGGTAAGCTCCACCTCCCGGGTTCACGCCATTCTCCTGCCTCAGCCTCCCAAGTAGCTGGGACTACAGGCACCCGCCACCACACCTGGCTGTTTTTTTTGTATTTTTAGTAGAGACGGGGTTTCACTGTGTTAGCCAGGATGGTCTTAATCTCCTGACCTCATGATCTGCCTGCCTGGGCCTCCCAAAGTGCTGGGATTACAGGCGTGAGCCACTGCGCCCGTTGGTTTTATGAGAGGAAACCCCTTTTGCTTGGTTCTCATTCTCTCTTATCTAACGCCATGTAAGACATGTCTTTTGCCTTCTGGCGATTGTGAGGCTTCCCCAGCCAGGTGGAACTGTGAGTCCATTAAACCTCTTTTTCTTTACAAATTACCCAGTCTCAGTTATGTCCTTATTAGCAGTGTAAAAATGGACTAATACATGTGTATACATTTCTAAATATTTCAGAATTTTAAATTTATCTTATTATTAACAACTTCCAACTTAATTGCATTTGTGTGTATGATACTGATTTTTTGAAGTTTTTTCAGGTTTGCCTAATGCCTGCAATCTAGTTATTTTGCTGCCAGAGGGCCTTTTAAAGTGTCAAGTCCATTGTACTGCTAAGAACAGAAGTCCTGATCATATTCTTAACTCTCAGCTATTTCTCTCTGAACTCCTCACTCATATTACCCCTGCAAACAAAACAAACAGAAAAATAACAACTACATTGGAGAATTGACGATAGTGATTTTTTTGACACTTGAAACTGAAGTTAAATAATAATATTTTAAAGTAATATAGGTCAGTATATTATTTTCAAAGCTCCATATATGTTTTTAAATAGAAGTATTTCTACATATTTATGTATTTAGGGGTAATATGTAGTGATTTGAACTTTGATGAATCTGGGTTCAAATCCTGACTTTGACAGTTACTAAGTATGTGCACTTGGGCAAGTTATTTAGCATCCCTAAATTGTCTTTTTAAAATCTGTAACTTGAGATAGTACAGATGACTCCTTCATAGTAGTGTTGTATGGATAAAATAGATGTAAAATACTTGACAAAGATCATTCAACAAATGCTATCTGTTGTTATTACTGCCACCCTATGATAGAAGCTTAATGCTATTTCAGTTAAGTGAACAAGTTTATTTTACTTTACAATTTTACTTAACTTAGCATTTATGATAAATGTTTTTATTGGAAGAAAATAACTTGATAGGCATGTAAAATATGAAATGAGTTAATTATTTGTGGAGATGATGCATTTTGCTTTGAAATAAATCTCACAGTTGTCCTATGTTTTAAAAAGTAGTGTACAGGCCGAGCGCAAGGGCTCACGCCTGTAATCCCAGCACTTTGGGAGGCCGAGGCAGGCGGATCAGGAGGTCAGGAGATTGAGACCATGCTGGCTAACACTGTGAAACCCCGTCTCTACGAAAAATACAAAAAATTAGCTGGCGTGGTGGCAGGCGCCTGTAGTCCCAGCTACTTGGGGGGCTGAGCCAGGAGAATGGTGTGAACCCGGGAGGTGGAGCTTGCAGTGAGCCGAGATTGGGCCACTGCACTCCAGCCTGGGTGATGGAGCAAGCCTCCATCTCAAAAAACAAAAGAAAAAAAAGGAAAGTAAACATGGCATTTCTAATTCAAAATATGTGTTATATTAAAAACTAGTAGTTTTTTTTTTTTGTTTTCTGGGTACATAGTGGGTGTATATATTTATGGGGTATTTGAGATATTTTGATACAGGCGTACAATGTGTAATAATCACATATGGGTGAATGGAGTATCTATCCCCTCAGGCATTTCTCCTTTGTGTTACAAACAATCCAATTATACTCTTTTAGTTATTTTTAAATGTACAAGTAGATTATTATTGACTATAATTGCCCTATTGTGCTATCAAATACATGTTCTTATTCATTCTTTGTATTTTTTGTACCTATTAACCATCCCCACTTCCCCCCACCATCTCTCCTCCACTATCCTTCCCAGCCTCTGGTAACCATCCTTCTATTCTCTATCTCCATAAGTTCAATTGTTCTAGTTTTTAGCACCCACAAATAAGTGAGAATATGTGAAATTTGTCTTTCTGTGCCTGGCTTATTTAACCTAACATAATGATCTCCGGTTCCATCCATAATGTTGCAAATGACAGGATCTCATTCTTTTTTATGGCTGAATAGTACTCCATTGTGTATATGTACCACATTTTCTTCATCCATTCATCTGTTGATGGACATTTCAGTTGCTTCCAAATCTTGGTTATTGTGAACAGTGCTGCAGTAAACATAGGAGTGCAGATACCTCTTTGATACACCAATTTCCTTTCTTTTGGGTATATGCCTAGCAATAGGATTGCTGGACCATATGGTAGCTCCATTTTTGGTTTTCTGAGAAACCTCCAAATTGTTCTTCACAATGGTTGTAGTAATGTACATTCCCACTAACAGTGAATGAGGGTCCCCTTTTCTCTACATCCTCGCCAGCATGTGTTATTTCCTGTCTGTTAGATAAAAGCCATTTTAATTGGGGTTAAATGATATCTCATTGTAGTTTTGATGTCTCTGATAATCAGTGATGTTGACCACCTTTTCATATGCCTGTTTGCTGTTTGCATGTCTTCTTTTTGGAAATGTCTATTCAAGTCTTTTGCCCACTTAATTAATTAATTAATTTTTATTAACATGAGAGTTTAAATGAGACAGAGTCTTGCTATGTTGCCCAGGCTGGTCTTGAACTTCTGAGCTCAAGGGATCTACTCACCTCAGCCTCCCAAAGTGCTGGGATTATAGACGTGAGCCACCCTGCTTAGCCCTTTTGTCTATTTTAAAATGGGATTATTAGACTTTTCCCATAGAGTTGTTTAAGCTCCTTATATATTCTGTTTGTTAATCCCTTGTAAGATGGGTAGTTTGCAAATATTTTCTCCCATTCTGTAGGTTCTTTTCATTTTGTTGTTTCCTTTGCTGTACAGAAGCTTTTTATTAATAATTTGATGTGATCCCATTTGTCCATTTTTGCTTTGTTTGCCTGTGCTTCTGGGGTATTACTCAGGAAATCTTTGACCACTCCAATATCCTGGAGAGTTTCCCCAATGTTTTCTTCTAGTATTCATAGTTTGAGATCTTAGATTTAAGTCTTTAATCCATTTTGATTTGATTTTTTTTATACGGCGAGGGATGGGGTGTGGTTTCATTTTTCTGCATAATATCCAGTTTTATAATATCTGTAATATCCAGTTTTCCCAGCACCATTTATTGATGAGACTGTCTTTTCCCTAGTGTATATTCTTGGCCCTTTTGTTGAAAATGAATCCACTATAGATGTATAGATTTGTTTCTGCATTGTTTATTCTGTTCCATTGGTCTATGTGTCTGTTTTTATGGCAGTACCATGCTTTTTCTGGGTTGATATACCTCAGTAGTGTAAGAACTAGTAGTGTGTAATAGTCATTTGTGGAAGAAATATTTCAGTCACATTATATTTAGTAGAATATTATTTGTGTGTGCTTAATTCATTTTAATAGCTGACTCCCCGCCTCCTCCTCCAGGTTCTGGCTTCAGTGATCCTCTCACTGGAGCACCATCTCAATACTTAGAGAGACTTTCCAAAATAGCCATATTGGAATATGATACCATTCGTCAGGAAACAACCAAAAAATCAAAAAAAGGCAAGAAACGAGAGCTCCGAGACTGCTGAGAAATGTCGTACAGTGTGATGCTTTCTTCAGTGACTTTTAAGCTTTATATTTTCTTTTTTTGTGTGATATGATGCAAAATGATTTATATAAAAATGAAAATGTAAATAGGAAATAAATATGTTATAGATGAGTCATTGTATTTTGTTAACATTACAGAGACAAATTATATTTTTTCCTTATTTATGTTGAAGGACTATAAATTATGGTTTATGGGAAAATAAGCATAAGATAAATTTTATTCCATGAGTTTTACATATATTGATTGTGTGTTTTGATTCAATTTGATACTCTTGAGTGTCTATTTTGTGCAATGACCTTGGCTAGCTGCTAGGGAAGATTTAAGATAAAGTGAGGTCCTGAGGGCAGCACAAGATGGCTGAATAGGAACAGCTCTGGTCTGCAGCAACCAGCATGATCAACACAGGAGATGAGTGATTTCTGCATTTCCAACTGAGGTACATGTTCATCTCACTGGGACTGGTTGAACAGTGGATGCAGCCCAAGGAGGGTGAACCGAAGCAGGGCAGGGCATCGCCTCACCCGGGAAGTGCAAGGGGTTGGGGGATTTCCCTTTCCTAGCCAAGGGAAGCCATGACAGACTGTACCTGGAAAAATGGGACACTCCTGCCCAAATACCATGCTTTCCCAAGGTCTTAGCAACTGACAGACAAGAAGATTCTCTCCTGTGCCTGGCTCAGTGGGTCCTATGCCCATGGAGCCTTGCTTACTGCTAGCAGTCTGAGATGAAACTGCAAGGTGGCAGCCTGGCTGGGGGAGGGGCGTCTGCCATTGCTGAGGCTTGAGTAGATAAACAAAGCAGCTGGGAAGCTCAAACTGAGCGGAGCCCACTGCAGCTCAGCAAGGCCTCTGGAGACTCCACCTCTTGGGCAGGGCATAGCTGAACAAAAGGCAGCAGACAGTTTCTGCAGACTTAAATGTACCTGTCTGACAGCTCTGGAGATAGCAGTGGTTCTCCCACCATGGCGTTTGAGCTCTGAGAACGGACAGACTGCCTTCTCAAGTGGGTCGCTGACCCCTGTGTAACCTAACTGGGAGACATCTCCCAATAAGGGCCAACAGACACCTCGTATAGGCAGGTGCCCCTCTGGGACTAAGCTTTCAGAGGAAGGATCAGGCAGCAATATTTGCTGTTCTGCAATATTTGCTCTTCTGCAGCCTCCACTAGTGAACAGGGTCTGGAATGGACCTCCAGCCAACTCCAACAGACCTGCAGCTATTGCAGCTGTTCTGCAGCCTCTGCTGATGAACAGGGTCTGGAGTGGACCTCCCAGGCAAACAGGGTCTGAATTAGACCTCCAGCAAACTCCAACAGACCTGCAGCTGAGAGACCTGACTATTTGAAGGAAAACTAACAAGCAGAAAGGAATAGCACCAACATCAACAAAAAGGACATCTACACCAAAACCCCATCTGTAGGTCACCAACATCAGAGACCAAAGGTAGACAAAACCACAAAGATGGGGAGAAACCAGAGTAGAAAAGCTGAAAATTCTAAAAACCAGAGTGCCTCTTCTCCTCCAAAGGATCACAGCTCCTTGCCAGCAATGGGACAAAGCTGGATGCAGAATGATTTTGATGAGTTGACAGAAGTAGGCTTCAGAAGGTCGGTAATAACAAACTTCTCCAAGCTAAAGGAGTATGTTCAAACCCATTGCAAGGAAGCTAAAAACCTTGAAAAAAGGTTAGACAAACGGCTAACTAGAATAAACTGTAGAGAAGACCTTAAATGACCTGATGAAGCTGAAAACCATGGCACGAGAACTTCGTGACACATGTCCAAGCTTCAATAGCCGATTCGATCAAGTGGAAGAAAGGGTATCAGTGATTGAAGATCAAATTAATGAAATAAAGCAAGAAGAGAAGTTTAGAGAAAAAAGAGTAAAAAGAAATGAACAAAACCTCCAAGAAATATGGGACTATGTGAAAAGACCAAATCTAGGTTTGATTGGTGTATCTGAAAGTGATGGGGAGAATGGAACCAAGTTGGAAAACACTCTTCAGGATATTATCCAGGAGAAGTTCCCCAACCTAGCAAGGGAGGCCAACATTCAAATTCAGGAAATACAGAGAACACCACAAAGATACTCCTCAAGAAGAGCA